GAAGGAAGGAAGGAAGGAAGGAAGGAAGGAAGGAAGGAAGGAAGGAAGGAAGGAAGGAAGGAAGGAAGGAGGGAAGTTAATTGCTTGACTTCAAAAAGATTGGACCTCCAGTGTCAGGAAATTTGGAAGGCATATTCTCCAGAGTACTTATCTTACTTTTGGTAGCAAATAAAGCCCTTAGGGAAGGTTATTAATTTTCTGGCCTATTTAGGATATTAAATTATACTAGCTCATACTCTAGTGACCTGAAAAAGTTAATTTACCATTTGAATGGCATGAATGATGAATACTTACTCCAAGTCCTGGCACTTTACAAAAGTACATAAAGATGTAGTACATTTTGCTTAGGTGTGCTTTATTTCTTACCAGTATCAATAGAAAAGGAAAGTAAACTAGCAATATTCTGTTAGAGATACCAGGACTGCTGCTGGCTGGGGCATCATCTCAGAGTGAAAGATGCCATAACATAGGGCCCTGATCAGTAAAGAAGAGGGAGGGGGAGAGGGAGGTGGTGCCCAATCCTTGGCTTCCGTGCCCCTCCCCCTTTTATCTGGATACAGCCATGGTCTATCCCCAAAACTTGGTTTTCTCTAAACCCCGTGCCAGTCCTCTCTATCTGTCATGTGGTGGCTAGCACAGGATTGTGAAAATTAACAGCTGGTTTTTAGTCCTCTGGATACATCAGTTGTTTGGAGCGTTAAAATGATGAGGATTGATTTTGAAATGAAATGTCACTTGCGGAAGAAAAGTGCATAATGATTTGTTTATTTTAAATAATGGGGAGGAAGGGGCAGACATCTGAACTGCCTTTTATATGTAAATGAATGTTTATGGGATTTTTGGATGCTATAAAAATATAACTTCTGTTCTGAGGATGCTTGATTCCACATACTGATCTTGAAAAAGGAACATAGATCAGGCTGCAAAACAGCCGTGCCCTTTAGTTTTTTTGGAGGCAATCACAAGTATATTAATCACTTAAGGTAACAATGGATGCTGCTTTTTGTCCTTGAAAGCTACTAGGATGCCATTGTGTTCCAGAAAGTGCTTGGTGCAGAGCCATCAGATACCATCTCTCCCTCAGAGGAGGTGCGATGAAGTTGAGACAGCACTTGGGAAGCCACAGGCAGAAAAGCATTCTCCTTATTGTTACAGATCCAGTAGAGTAAATGAATTAAATAAATAACTGAAAACAATGAATACACGAGTAAATGGGTAAATAAAAATACAAATGAAATTTTTGAAGTAACTCTTGGTGAGCCCAAACTCCCGCATATCCAACAAATATCTGCAAATGAAAAACTTGTAAATTGTCAAATGCCTGAGGTTAACCACAGTGAATGTGGGCTCGGCTTCCTCCAAGGGAGGTTAGAATTCCAGGGCCCGCTTGGGTCTCTGGTTCTCCTTTAGCGAGTTTCTGGAGTTTTAGCAGGCTTTCTTCTCCGCGCTGCCTTGCAGGCCCTGTGTGTCGCAAACCTGACACCTCTGCAGTGCATTCCTTCTCTTCTCCCTGCCTCCCTGTTTACTCCCTAAGGCGGAGTGACACTAACAGTCAGGTGCGACCCAGCAGGTGGAGTGGCTGGGTGGACCCTAGGGCAACCCCAATATGAACTTTACTGTGGGTGTGGGTGGGAACAACCTGGAGACTACCACCACCAAGTCCTGCGCCTGGCTGGTGGGGTGTGTGCAGAAAGAGCGAGAATAAATAGGAGGTTCCCTCCTCCCAGCTACACTCACGGAGCCGGCGGCCGCCGCCCTGGGTGTTTGCCTGCCCTGTAGACGGGGTTCCAGCCTGAGAAGTAGTTTCGTTTCCTGCTGGCTGCGGGATTAGTATCCAGGCACCCCCTCGGACGCCCGAGGCCTGGAAAAGGGGCGCAGGAGGAGACGGGAGACTCGTCTAGGGGCTGCCCGGCCCCGCAGCGCGGGGTTGATGGAACGGACCGCCCCGGGCAGCGGCGCCAGCTCCCAGCCATTGCTCCTGGCCTTCGCCCTGGGTAAGTGGCCGCGCTGGGCATTGGAGACCCAGGAGGAAAGTCGGGGTGGAGTCGCAAGGAAGGTGAACCCTGATCTGTTCTTGCGTCTGGACCCGAGGGCACACTGGGGCTGACAGGGTTGGGTCGGAGAACTTGGACGCCTGGGAGAGCGAGAGGTTAAGGGTCGGCCAACTGGGCACCTGTTGGGGCTGTCCCTGGGCGCGTCGGGAGGCCCGAGGGCGGAAGGAATCCCGGAGACCCTGCTGCTGGTGCTGCAAACGTGGGCACAGGGCGTAGGACCGGGTGCGTTGGACTGGGGGCCCCTCCAAGCTTGGAGGCACCCGTGGGGGTGCTGTGTCCCAGAGTGCATAGGAAGGAAATTCACCAAAGGAGGAGTATGAGAGACTGGACCCAGCTGGCTATCCCTGGAGGAATTGGAAAGGGAACTCCCTGGCTTAAAATGTAAGCGGGCAGCACCCAGCAAGGTGGGGGGCCATTTGCTTGGTGTGTGTGTGTTCCCTGGAAAGTCAGAGGAGCTGGCCATAGCCTGGGAAGGAATTATTACACCTATTTCTCGCTGGGGCCATTGGGAGGAGCTGGAGGAGAAAAGAAGACAAATTCTGAGACTCCAGCCTCCTGGCTGATAGGGAAGAGAAGGAAAGGGAAATGACATGTTTCATTTAGGGCACCATCCATGAGACACATAGATGCCTTACTTGGAATACAGCCATGTGCCCCTTAACGAGGGGATGCGTTCTGAGAAATGCCACCTTAGGCGATTTGCTCATTGTGCGAACATCTTAGAGTGCACTTACACAAACCCAGCTGGTATAGCCCACTACACACCCAGGCCATATGGCATAACTTATTGCTCCTAGGCTACAAGTCTGTACAGCATGTTACTGTGTAAAACAACACGAGATTACATCAAGCACAAGAGACGTGGTAAACACAAGATGTATGAAGCAGCTGCCTGGGTAACATGGCATACTGGTTTACAGCAAACTTTTTCACTTAATAAGTAGAAAAAGTACACTCTAAAACGAAGATTAAAAGTATAGTAAATACTAAGCTAGTAGCATAGTCGCTTAGTATCATTATCAATATTATGTACTGTACATAACTGTATGTGTGATATTTTTGTAAGACTGGCAGCGCAGTAGGCTTGTTTACACCAGCATCTGTATATTATTTTCTGTTTTAAAGAGCAATTGGGCTGGGGGGGGGCTTTTCTTCACTTTGAAGGTTTAATCTGGTTTGTTAAGTTAAGGACCATTAGATGTGGTCACCTGGCGTAAGAAAAGAGTGGCTGATGGGAGGAGTAGCAGGATGCTGGACCCCACTAGAGGCTGTCCTAACCACGGTGGGTGTCAGCGCTGGCAGAGAGGGAGAGCTGGGGAAGTCTACACAGCTGGAAGCAAGCTCCCCTCACCCTCCAGTGTGGTAAGGTAGCAGGAAAATCCTGCTACTTCAAGGCGTCCCCTCTGCATCATGGTCGTTTTGAGGAGGGTGAAGGGAAGGGAAGCGAGCAGTATTTTGTAGTCTTAGCTGGGCTGGGCTTGGGGTATTAATGTGGGAGCGTCTTCACAGCTGAAATGCCTACAGCTTAAAGCCTGGATAGGGCTGGGATTTCCTTTATGGAGGGAAAAGAAATGGAATCTAAACGGAAACTTTTAATTGGCTTGTGTCCTTGGAATCAGAGAGATGGTTAAAAAGGTATCATGATCTTGTTTGGAAGTGGATCAGATTTAGAACCACGGTTAGAGAGAAGGGAATGATGTGACAAATCCTGAAGCGCTAGAAGTCAGGAACAATTTAGTGGTAGAGTGATATGGCACTTAAAGAGCAGTGGGTCTGAGAATTAGGCCCAGAAACTGTACTGACGCTTTGCCAGTACTGGACGAAGGTAGCATTCTCTCCCTCCACTTTGTCTGGACTGTCCAACTCTCAAATTATTTACTGAGAGTCTGCTAAAGTCAGCAAGATGCTGGAGTACAGGGAATAGGGGTGGGATGAGGGCTCAAGAAATTCCTAAAGACATAATTTCTAAAACATGATTCCTGCCCTAAGAGATGTTATGTTGAATTTGGGAATGCTATAACAGCTATGCCATGCTAACAGCTATGACAGAACTAGAGAAAAAGTCATGAAACCAGGGAAGGGAGTGCTATCTCCTACCTAAGCTTCCACAGTGAGGGATGGAGAAGTTGGGAACAGCTGCATGGAGGACGAGAGTGGGTGCCTTGAAGCTTGGGTAGGATTTGAAATAGTAGGGAAGACAGACCAATGATAGGAAAGGGGAAAAGCATTTAGTGAAGTGTTGGTGGTGGAAATAAGACTGCTTTACTGGAGAGACAGGTAGTCAGCCTGCCAGAAAGTAGAATTTATGAGAGGCAGAGAGATTATGAAGAGCCAAAAAAGCCACATTAAAATATTTGGACACAAATCAATAAACAGTGAAACACACATCATCAAAGGTCTTGAATACAGGAGTGATATGACGCAAACAAGGATTTAAGGAGACAACCCTGGCAGGGGGGAGCGCAGTGTAGGAGGAGAGTAGGGCAGCTATGAACCAGACGACCTGACTGTCCCATAGGTGTGATCCAGGTGTGAGCTAGTCCAGGCCTCGATTAGGGTGATGTGCCAGCAGAAGTGTTATGGTAGAAACAATTATGGCAGGTTGATGGACATTCCCCCTTTACTATCACACAGTGCTTTATTTTTTTTTCTCAAAACCTTTCAAAAGGCAGGAATGAAAACAACAAAAAACTCTAAATCTAGTACTATTGTATACTCAGGGTAGCCTAGCTGTACAACTGCCCTGTTGAATGTTTGACTTAGGGAGTTGAATCCAGTTTAGATCCCCTAAAAGCTCCACTCCTTGCAAAATGCAATTTGTTGACATTAATGTTTCCATAAAATGGTCTTCTTTCTTTCATGTACACTTCACTTTTAAGTCTCGTTCCTAATATGTCACATGTTATTTTACTTAGTTTTTGAAAGGAATGTGAGCAATGTGCTGTGTGATCCGCTAGTGTGTGTGTGTGTGTGTGTGTGTGTGTGTGTGTGTGTGTGTGTGTCACAGTGAAAAGTGCCTTGAAAATTGGCACTAAGCAGACATGAGACCTGATTCTGACTGTGCACTCCAGAACCCTGAGATACCTGGAAGTTATAGCTTTCTGGGAACTGTTTTTCTCATTTGGGTTGCTTTAGATGGGGTTGCTTTAGATGAAACAAAGATTCTCACCACTTGACACTGTACTGATCTTTAACCAACATTTCTATTGCAAAATTTAAGAGAAAGTCTTTTTACAATAGTATTTAACTTCCATTTGTTTTGTAATGGGATCTTTGTTTCACGCAAACTTTTTCATCACAGAGAGAATCATGAATGCTTGATTCTTTAAGAAATGTGGTAAAGGTGCAATAACTGTTTAAAGTGTTTTTTTTTTAATCTTAAAGAAATTGGATCATTCTCTGTAATTCTGGTTTATTTGCTTATTTGTTTTTAGTTTCTCCCTCTCATCCAGTTGCTATATAACACTAAAGCTAAAATTATAACCAGTGAAAAAAGGAAAATGAGTGAGTTTTAAGGTAAAAAATATGTTCTTCTTATTAAAATCTAGAACATCAATATTTGTAAGTTGGTTCTAAGTTCTGCTTAAAAACATGAATTCATTCAGGAAATAATATCTAGTTCTCAAGTTTCAAAGTAGGTGGTGGCAGCAGGTAAAATTCCCATTGTACACATGAAGTAATGGAAGCCCCAAACCCTGAAAGATTTGCCTCTTCGGATGTAATTTTGGCTCAGAAGAGTATTGGGAGTTTTTTTTTTTTTTTCCTCTTCAAAAACCTTAGATTTCACAGGCCACACTTGCATATTCCAACAACTGTTACAAATCAGTTTTTACTACTGCTCCACTCTCAGTTGTGTGGAAATTCCCAAATAATTCTGGAAGACCCCCATACTGCAGGCACACTTTGGAGTACCCACTCAAGGGGCCCTGCTGATGCTTGGCCTTCGCATGTCTGTGCCCAAATTGAAGATGCAGAGGACAGAGAGGACTTACCGTATTTCTCCATGTATAAGATGCACCCTTTTTCGAAAAATTTGGGGTCTAAAAACTGGGTGCATCTTATACAGTGGTTGTAGATTTTTTTACTTGCATTTCTTGCTTTTTTCACACTTGTTTTTGTGCTCATTGTTGTGGATTTTTTTTTACTTGCATTTCTGCTTTTTCGCACTTGTTGTCTTTGCACTCATTGTTTCGCACTTGTTACCGGTACATTAGGTTACATTTTGCCACATTCTGCCCAGAAATGGCTCAGAAAAGATTTTCATACAGTGCTGAATTCAAGTTAAAAGTGGCAAAAGTTTGCCAGTTTGCAAAAGTGAATGGAAATCATGCTGCTGAATGTAAGTTTGGTCCTCCTCCACCTGAGAAAACAATCCAAGACTGGCTACGGGAAGAAGAAACCCTACCGAAAACACCACAGCAGAAGGCCATGAGAGGCAATATATGAAGACAGTGATTCGTCATCAGACACAGATGAGGACAAGCTAATGGTTGGGAGTTTTGACAGTGATGAGGAGTTGTATGAGTTTTATGATGAATAAAACTTGAGTTCAATAACTTTAGGTAATACTTTTTTTTTTTCAAATTTCGGGCCCCAAAATTAAGGTGTGTCTTATACATGGGAGCATCTTATACATGGGGAAATACAGTATGTCTGCCCCAGGGGCCCAAGCCTCTGGCACTGCCTCATGTCTGTGGAGACTGACCACTCCAGTCCTGCTGTGCTCCTTATGTCCACAGAAAGCCTAGTGGGAAAAACTAATCTTGGTTTTTCTCACCCTTTTATTATAGTCATCTCAAGTCAGGACATAGACATGAATGTCACCAGGAGGCTGGTCCAGGGGATTGTGAGAGGACAGACACCAAGCTCTACCCCGTGTCACCCCTCTGATCCATGAACCATGCATGCTTGTAAGTGTCTCGATTAGGATCAGTGTCTTC